TTTTTGCAAGCACAGACTGAGCACTACTCCAGGTGTTAAACTAGGAAAGGATTTTTTTCCCACTGAACTCCTCCTCCTCCTCCCAGGATGGAATGGCATTATAGAAGATAGCTGGCGAAAACTTGATGGCTGCTTTAAATAGCCCACATTTCATTCCTATTTGCAAGGAGAATGAATGGACTTTCTCTATCTATTGGAAACTCTCACATATTTCCTAGGACCAACATGTCCCATCGGCTTTAGGAGAGCTGGAGAGACTACATTTTGCCCTAGTAACACCAGTGCATCCCTCTGAATGTTTGGGCAGGGTATGTTCCAGCATCTTTAACACAGCAGCAAGTACGTGCAGATAGTTGCCATTGGCAACTTTCTCTCTGCAGACTATCAGCACTGTTGTAAATGTAACAGTGTAAAATAAGGGGCTTCTCTTTGCAGTAAATGCTAAACATACGTAAGTCTGTGTTCCGCCTCCTTATTCAGCTTATCCATCCATCCCAGTGTCCAGTACTGCAGTGACACTGGGTGGTCCTGGACCAGCACTGGAAGGAAGCCTCTCTTTAGCTGTCCAACATCAAACTTTATCTCAATCTCCGTGGGTAAGAACACGGGTAGTGATACTGCAGCTTGGCTGTTCTGACTGACAGGACTTCTGGAGTCCTACTTTCGGCTTCTTGGCTTTTGACACCTGCCAGCTTTTGCACCCCATATTTCTGAACACCCTGTCTGTGGCTGGGCCTTTTGACAGCTTGATGTTATTAACTTATTGCGCCAAGCTTTCCTCTCCTTTCTCATGCACCCACTGCAGTTGCAGGGATGGAGGAATAACTTCCCTTCTCCCATTCGCTGGCTCTTCAGATCATTTCTGCCTTTGCTGTTGAATTTCTGCAGAGGTTGAACAATGAAAATTGCTCCTATTGGCAGGGTCATCCTGAACCTGCTGTAAAAAGATGCTCCCAAACCTGCCTTTCCATGTGGCACAGTGTGCTGCCAAGCCCGGGCCTCTGATTCTGGAGCACAGATGCTTTAAGTGCCTGCTGAAGCGTGATTAACGTCTGTGGTGCCTGTGCCCACCTGAGCAGGGGGCTGCTTCCATGGGACAAGCCTTTGACACAGCACACTCTACCTTCACACTTTGTGCAGCAACAGACCAAGCAGATTGTAAGAGAATGAGTAAAAGATGGGACAGGAGATGAGCGTTAGTGCTGAATGATGGTATTAGCCAAAGGACAAGCCAAGGTGGTTAAGAAGCCAGGCTGTTAGCCAGTACCTAGAAGACACGTGGGATTGTGAGGGGCTCTTAGCTTCACAGCTCTTCACCACTGATGGGTTTCTACAGCAATGGAATGAAACAAGACATGAGTTGTGCACGTGCCATGGGGACAACATGACCATCCCGACTGCTGGCCAGCCGCAGGGACACCCCGTGCAGCTCACCTAGAAAGTAATGAAGATACAGGCTTTTCAACAGAATTGCTCCTTTCCCATGGCTTCTTCCCAGAGTCTGGAAAACAAAAATGAAAAGTTACTGTTTATTATTTTTTCTCTAATGATAAAAAAATCTGAAGCTGATTGTGTTACACAGCTGCTTTCATTCAGTGAGGATGAGTGACTGACTTAGAAAGATCCAAGGAAGCGGGGTTGCTGAATGAGTGCGCTTGCCTATGTTATAGAGAAAGCAGTGGCAAAAATCTACTTAGTGATCCCTTTAATTAGTGACCAGATAGTTAAACAATACTGAAAAGATATGGAACTGGAACAGTAGGAGGAAAAGCATAAATCACTTCTATTAAGAAATACAGGCTAATTGCTGCAAGGCTTATTTTATTCAGTACAATATTTATTTCTCTTTTAAATTAAAAAGTCTTAGGTTTTTGGTCTGCGTAGTTGGCAGAAAATGTGAGTGTGTCTAAAAAAAGGCAGTGAGACCCCCACTATGCAAATCTCCACAGAGAATTTATTTAATGTTGCCTATATTTCTAACTTGCCGAACATTCCCGAAAGCTGCACTACATAACCCTTGTTACTGAAAATGCTTACTATCATCCCAATCTCCTCCTGTGCAAATACTCCAAAATAAAGTGAACTGTTTCAGAGACTTGCATAACACACAAATTTATACACAAGAGTTTGCTCCTCTGTGAGGTCCTAAAAAGCTCTTTAAAAGAATTACGGGCACTCCCAGGAAATCTCTAGATCTCGTTCCTCATTTACATGCACCTTTCTTCTGGCTTCTTCCCTTTCCCTTGCAAAACACGCAGATCATGGCTTTGTTCCAAAAGGAAGCTGGAATGGTTAAATACTCATTCCCTTAGGAGAGATTTCTTTTAGCATGTATGAAAGCCAAGGCTGATGCAAGGATGAATCTGACTGGCTTGCAGCTTATCTACTCAGATACTGTTATTTCAACTCACCATAGGAAAAACATATTTTGGGGGCTCCTTAATTTCACCTAGTAACTCTCAGGATCAGGCTTACCACAAGAAGCTACTAGGTTAAGGAAGGATAAGAGTTTGAGACCCAAACCCCAACTGTATAAACCAGGACAGCTAGAGTACCAAAAGTAAAATAATACAGCTTTTTTCTGTTAGAAGATTCAGGTGCACAATGTTGAAAACACAGATCCTTGGACATTGTCCTTGGATATTGGAATAATCTCCCCAGGGAAATGCTTGACTCTGCCACATTGGACACTTTTAAGACGCAGCTGGACAGGGTGCTGGGCCATCTTGTCTAGACTGTGCTCTTACCTAGGAAGGTTGGACTAGATGATCCTTGAGATCCCTTCCAACCTAGGATTCTATGATTCTATGATTTTACGATCCTCAGCTACATGTCTGGACCCCTTTACCTAAATGGGCTGTACTGTGATTTTCTTGGCTGTAAAGCATATAAAACCCCCATTTCTCGCTGAGTACAGTTTTTAAAACAGTAGGCATTTGGGAATTTTTCTGTTAGTTACTGCTGCTGCACTCAGAAGTAGGATGATGAACCCAGAGACTAGAGGTGGTAGAGAAGGCTAGATTAAGAAGACAACTAAACCACTAGTAGTTTGATTTAATACCTGATGAATTTTGCTGCTGCTGGGTGGGACCTCGTGTACTGGGTGAAGGAGAGGTGCTAGCATCATCCTACAAAGAGAAAAACAGGGCATTACTTGATTCTGGAGATGAAGCTCAGAGTCCTCTTCTACTTTGGAGCTGCAGCACAGCTGGTACAAAAGCAAGTTCCCCTCAAGCACGTCCAACAGGCATTGCTGCCAAGGTTATGGCTCAAGTCCCTTTAAACTTCAGCTTTTCTCTCCCTTTAGCATGGCAAAATACATCCTTTTTATTTTTTGCTAACATGGGCACCTTTTCACGATTCTACTGAATCACAGTCATCCCTGTATACCAAACGAGGCTGAATTACCACTCTAAAGTGCTGGCTGCTGTTGTCTAAATACAAACCATCCATTTCCCAAATTTAGAAGCTCTCTGTGATACAGATACTGAGCTACTTGAAGGAACAGTAGGTCAGATCCCAGGCTTTTAGCCCAGGACAGCCACTGGTTATCAGTGAGGGTAGTCCAGGTACTAAAAGAATGTAACTAAATCAATCAATACTCCTAAGTAGAAAATTAAACACTACATCACAGATCAGGACTCTTTTTTCTGGGATTTATGTGTGACAGATCATAACACATTCACCCATATATTTAGCATGTCAGTATTATTTAGCAGCCCTCAGAACACACTGAGGCAAAGCAGTAGCTGTGCATTTTAAAATGGACTTGCACCCAGTTTGACAGAAGATACCCCCACCGTAAAGTGTACTCAAGATTCACACTAAACAGATGTTATCTAAAACACCTTTCTGAACAGTTTGGTGCTATCGAAAAGGTTGATTGGGGTTATCACCTAATACAGAGCTTCAAGGAGAGAGAACAAGGGGAAGAAAGACAGGAGAGGCTGAATAGTTGAAGCTAAATGGTACCTTTCATCTCTGAGTGTATGGTTCAAAACCAGCTTTGGGGCAATATTAAGAGAATGATTGCATAGCAGCATCAAGGGTTCAGTAGGCAAATTCCATGCTTGAAGCATCCCTCAAGGAAGATGCAAAAAATAGCTGCTTTTCTCTTTCAACATTGCAGGTGCTTCTTCCTGCTCTTGCTACAGAGCTTTCAGACTGGGGCGAGACCTTCATTTTCTGAATGGGATTCCCTGCTGAGCAGCTGTTACCTTGTCTTTGGAGGGAATATCTCTGTATAGGTGATATGAGGCACACACGATGCTTTATGACAATGCTGGAGGAGGCTGAGGGGAGACCTTATCGCCCTCTACAACCACCTGAAAGGAGGCTGTAGCAAGGTGGGTGTTGGTCTCTTCTCCAAGTCACAAGTGATAGGACAAAAGGAAATGGCCTCAGGTTGTGCCAGGGGAGATTTAGATTGGATATTAGGAAAAATTTCTTCACTGAAAGGGTTATCAGGCACTGAAACAGGCTGCCTAGGGAAGTGGTCGAGTCCCCATCCCTGGAGGTATTTAAAAGATGGGTAGACGAGCTGCTTAGGGACATGGTTTAGTAGTGGACAGGTACGGTTGAACTCGATGATCTCAAAGATCTTTTCCAACCAAATGATTCTATGAACTTGCTGCCATGGCAGAGAGCCTTCACAAGGGTACAGGTTAGCAGCAGGAGTGCTGTATGAGCAACAGCCCAGAAAAGCACCACATGGGAAGGGACACAGCGCATCAGCAGGTAAAAAAAAAAAGTGTTTAAATCTGCATGTTGAACTCAAAATTGCTGCATCAAGCTCAGTGTAAAGACTGAGTCAAATCACAACCCTTGTTTAATTGCTTTTGTGGACAACATACAGACAGAACAGTTAAACCAGAAATGTACCAAAGTTCCCTAAAGTTGTTCAAATTCTATCTGATTTTATTGTAAGTATCATGAATCATATATTTTAACTTTTGAATGGCCTAGTAGTTAATACACTGTTTCCCTTCCCCCCACAGAGACATACTTCATGTGCACTCTGGGGTCCAAAGTGAGCTGATTCTTGCTTTGCATGGAGGACGGCAATCCAAAGTTACACCACGTGGTTGATGATCCACTTCAGCTTAGCTGAAGCCACAAATTTAAAATAAGAGACATGGACTTGATCTCAAGTTGACTTGCCAGAAAGTTCAATGCATCTTCTTAAGGGGGAAGACTCTACTGTACCCTACAACACTCAGATCAGACCATGAGAAAGCACTTATTAACCGGGTTTGGGCAATACCTCACCTATAAGTAAGGCAGCAATTCTTGTTTATAGGGTGCTGTTCCCAGGAAGGGTGGAAGCAGTGACATTTAGCTTTTGACTGAATGTGCAGATCTATTCCTGGATCAGCACTGCTCAACACTGCCTGCCACACACAGTGAATGAGCACAGGACTTTGGATTACAAGGCAGCACATCGACATATTTGCAAGAGTACAACAGTGAGGAGTCTTTCACTTACATTTTGGCTTTCCTCTTCCTTTTTGTCGGCTGGTTTGTCTGACTGCGACGCTGCTTTCCTCCTTTGCAAAGAAACATGAGATAGGACACACAGTCAACTCTCTAGAAACACATCCTTTGCGTGGGAAGGCTGATTCAGGCTCTGGTGGGAGTTATTATTTACTTAGTTCATCTTAGGGAACGCTACAAAGGCTGGATGTGTTCAGTTGTGTAGGATTGAGGTGGCGGTGAGGAATCCAGACCTCAGTGACATGACTCAGAGAGAGGGGCAACATTACAAGGCAGTGTTTAACGGAGGAACACAGGGTGCAGAGCACAAGGAAATGTGTCGAAGCACAGCTGGGTATGAACTGGGTGAGAAAGGGATGGCTCCTCTCTAGGGCTCAGGAAGTGGTGGCTCCTGTGTCCTACAGAGGAGGAAAAACCCAAACCCCCACAGGGGTTTCTGAGGACCAATGCAACCCTCCACAGGTGGATCAGGTGGGTATTGCAGTGATGACACTATGTTCTCAGCCAGCTCCAATATAATTTTGCCACCTGTCCTATATCCCCCATCCCTGTTCCCACCCAGAGAAAAGGCAGTGCTCCCATGTGATGGGCAGTCAGAAAAGCCCTTCAACCCAGGTCCATCCTCACTGGGAGAGACTGGGCACCATTTCTGCTCAGCCAAGACCCCTGCTTCCTCCAGGGTGGGAAAGCTCTGGCTGGAGACCAGGAGTCAGGAATGAGCACAACAGCCTGGGTTTTCAAGTGCCTTTGGTGAGTGGAGAGGCTATTGCTGTCTCAGATCCAGTTCAAAGGCCCTGTAGTCCCAGGACTGGCAGTGTTGGTGGTGCCTACAGAAGTTACGTGAGGACCTGAGACACTTGCTTGGCGATGCTTCCTACGGAGAGGCAAAACACCCTGAGAAGCAAGTGGCAAAGAGCTGCAATCCATCCACTGGAGCAATGGGACATGAGAGTAAACAAAGTTGTTGGCTGTTTATCTGTGAAGAACACATGGTAAAACTTTGTGGGTGTTAGCTACACTTGCTGAAGGAAAGAAAACCAAATTCTTGATTTTCAATCCCTATTTAGGGTCTAAACAGAACTCAAGCGTGCCAGGTACTGATTGTCTAGACATCCAATTGCCCATTTTAGACAATTAGGGGAACTGCAGGTATAGTCTCCACATGGATTTGGGTTGTGATGATCCTTATCCTTACCCACCTGTGAACACTACCTTTACCAGATGTTTTTTAAAACACCAATATGACAGGTTTTTCATTTGTCTTGCTTCTGAAATGGACAAAATTCATCTCACAGAAAAAAAAACCAAACCAAAAAACATTATCCCAAGTGGCACTTAGAAAGGCTTCTGAGTTTCAAAACACTGCCACAAGTTTGCCAAAGGATTATTTTGTCATATCACTGGCAAAAGAAAAGCCTCACTGGATTCATAAATCATGGGATTTGAGGTAAATTTGATAAAAAAGACAGAAGAGTAAAACACATGCATGTGTTTGTAGGACACAGTGCTCTGTGGGAATTATTTCCAGATATTCAACTGCATTAATAATTTTATTAGCTCAGTAATAATTTTTATAGTCTTTCTCTAATACTTACTTGATACTTATGAGAAAAAAGGTTATACTGATTACTGAGCAAGGGAAATATTTGCCAGGGTGAGAGACCAGTGTTAGATTTATGTCCTGCAACAAACTTAACTGGGCTAGAAATGATAGTGGTTTGTGAGATAGTTCATTATCCTGCTTGCACTTCAGTTCTGAAGCAAAGGGCTGCTCTCATGGGGGCCACTAAATCTAGAGAGCCGTATTTTATACCACCTGAGCTCTCAGGACCGTTTCCTTCCACTGCCTCCCCAGCGTTATACACATTCCCTGTTTCTGAGCATGTGGTTTTCTGCTCAGAAAAGGGCCCCTGAGATCCCCTGCTCATCACTCAGTGATTTCTGTATTGAACATGCTAAGTTTAAAAAAAAACATCTTTTTTTTCCTCCTGGCTGCCAGCTTGGTATGAGCAACCTGAAACACAGTGCCAGGTTCTTCCTTTCCTCTGTGTCATCCCACATAAAAAGGGTTTTGCAGCCAAAAGGGGGTCCTTTTAGTATCAGTTTAACAGCATGCGCCAACTGCACCCCTGACCGACACTTGCGTACTTCCAATGACTTCCATGGCTTTGTGGAGCAAAATTTAGGAGACAATTCTGTTGCTGTCAGCTCCCTCGGAAAGGATTTGTAGCTCACTTATTTTCAGGGTAGAGGCAGTAGAGATGTTTTTGTTAAGATAGGTAGGGGATTCGACCCTGAATACTTGAAGACGTCGAATCCCACTGCTGAAAGCCATACTGGAGTACATTTTAGACTAGAACAACAGAAATTTGTAGGATTTCTATATTCAAGCATGTGAGATGTCCATTTAGCTTGCTTGCTTGAACAGAGCTAGCTACCCCAGCATCTAGTCACCGAACCTTACTTTGCTCACGACATCTTTCAGTTCAGCAAGGTCAGTCTTGATATGTAGCAGCGCAAAATAGCTCAGAAGGTGACCCAGTAAATAAGTATTAAAAGCTGTTATGCTATTTTAGTTCTGAAAAGAGAGAAAATTATCTATTTGGTATTTTACACTGCTGGTAACTTTTTATAGTGTTGTGTATTTATTTAATGCTTTCCAAAGGATTACATCCACGGTCAATGCTCAGAATTCCTTCTGAAATGACCAGGACACTGAGGAAAGTTGGAATCAGATCCTCTGAAATGGGAACTGTTTTTATACTAGACAACATTATTTAAAAACTCCATCTCTGTGCACTATACAACTTTACCTACTCTTCATTATTTTACTTACCCTTTTATTTCACTGTTTGTAAGTCAAAAAAAAAAAAGCGCTAAAAATAAAACATCTAAAACTAGGAACTTGGGAGTCTGACAGAACATTACTGATGGAGTCAGGAGGAAAAGAGAAAGAAAAAATAATTGGAATAGTTTGAGTGCCTTTTAACAGCTGGTAGCTTGATACATCACGACTCGCTTTAGCGGAGAATAACTTGGCTAGCCTGTCTGAAACACACTGAGAATCGATAATAATTTACCTGCCAAGATGTTGTCCTTTTATTGCACTTCTGTTTATATCTTTGGGCCCAACAGCCTGAATGTGCTGCATAAAGGATGATTTCTCTAAGCTCCTTTCATAGTTTACTCTTTCCGAAAACAGTAACTTTGAAATAGATCTGGTAAAATGGTAAAACGACAGTGGACATATTTACCACCATCTTTGAAGGTTAACACACTGCAGGATTTGCTACAGCAGCTGAAGCCTGCCAGGTATCATTGCTGCAACATCTACATTTCATATGAAAGGCCAGACCAAGCTGGTGACTAACATCTACGCAGGACCTGTCACACTGCAAAGAAGCACCAAAGTGACCCAATGCTAACCAGAAATGACAGCACCTTGTTCCGCAATTTGCTGCAGAGCTCATGCTAGTGCTTACTTGAAGTCTAAGTACAAACCTTTTTGCCAGTAATTTATTCATTTCTTCCATTAGTCCTCCTCCGCCTCCTCCGCTACTTGTTCGATTGGCATCACTCTTAGAGACCCCACTGGGGCTGGACCCTCCTGAACCATCTTCTGGCTTAGGACAGAAATCAACATTGGAATTAATGAAAAGCTTCACTTACAACCACACCCTTAATGGTTAGTTTTCCTAATTCTTAGGAACAGCGATCACAATCACAGCCCAAAACCAGAGATAGGATGTGTTCTGCTTTGGGAAGGAGACCCACATGGACCTTACTAAAACCAAGACGGTCTGGGTGAGGCAAATATATGGGCAAATGATGAAAAAACCCACAGCGCTGTTTGTTAATGGTTGTGTTTATGCATGGTTATGCAACCCTTACCTACGTAGACAACTATTGACATGAGGCCTCAACAGTCTGCACTGCTTTTTGTAAGCATGGTGAAGTTTTAACCACTTATAATGACTGAAAACTCTAATGGATAGATAGTACAATGGTGGACTTTGCAGAAGTAATAAAATCCTGGCAACATGCGGACTTGCAGCCATTTGATAATTAAGATTTTCTGAAGAGCAGAAATTCTACCAAACATTTCCTGCTCAGATTTACTTGCACTAAAAAGTCACATTTAAAAGTTCACCTAATGCTCAGCTGAAGCATGTTTCACCATGTTTCATGCTGGATTTGCAGACCATTACACCAAGCTGCTCCAGGCTTTCCCACAGCAGAGAAGAGCCCATCAAGGAGTCCCAGTGCCACCTCCTTACCCGGTCGGGGGGGGGTGGGGGAGGGGGGGGCCCCCCAGACGATGCAGGGATCACAGCAGCGCCACTGGGATGACCAGGTGGAAGTGCTGGGCCTGAAATGCAGAAAATACGAATTAGATGTGAAGCGTGAGCTCCTCCAGCCCGTACACAAGGTCACGTTCCCGCTCCCAAGGCCATGACCTGACTGCGTGACGAGTGAGCAACACAAGGAAGCACCTAGCAGAAGAAAGGGAAATGGTGGTGCATCAAGGGTCAATTGGCTACAGTTCTGTCCTCCTGCGAGACCCTGTCACTGATAAACTAGCCTTCTCCCTCCTATTCTCCCTGGCTGGGCTAGTGTTTTATTCTGTGCTGAAATCAAAACACAGACAATACTTCCCAATTCTTGTCACCTTCTTCTGCTCCTCTCATAGCTTTCTACATGGAGATAATAAACTCCATCAGCCAACTCTGTGGACTTCTGTCAACACCAGCTTTTCACCTCACGGGCTACAGCAACACGTCCTCCTTTCTGTTGAACATAGGGTGCGTGATTTTGGCTGGTCTTGCAAAATAACAGGGAGAGAGTCCAGCACCAAGCACCCTGAGGTTTAGCAAAGCTCCTCCGAGCAGCAGCCTGTTGGAGGGGCTGATGGTGGGTAACTCCGTTGCAGTGCTTTGCCTGTCTGTAATGGGTCAGCTGAATGAATCCACCTCCTCCAGGGTATTTCCCCATGTTATGCTCTCTCAGAACAGGCTGCTCCTGACATATAATCACAGGTTCAGTTGCTCAGTAAGTGTTATTTTGAAAGACATGCAGGTTTTGACTGAGGAACCTTTAGAAACTGTATTTAACATTAGCAGCCTGGTTTTCTTATCTAGGTTTTCTTACAATACCGTCTTATTTCTGTGGTTACTTCTGCCATTATCTCACACTCCTGATTCCATTCTTGAAATGAACAATGGCTGCTATTAGAAGTACTTTAAACGTTTCAAGCCCTCTTTGGTTCATGACCATAATAGCCAGTAATTCATTGTGGGTGCAGTTAATTGTAATTGCAAAACTACACCCACCTAACTAGGGGCCAGCCCGAGGCAAAAATTGAACTGAGTCAAAATAATGGCCTGATGTGAGTTTAAAATAACTTTATTGAACTAAGTGGATTTCAAGGGCTTATATCTGCTGAAGGACTGAGCCTCCAGTGGTTGCTGTAATATTTTTAGCAGAAAGTGAAAGGAAATGTCTCAGTTTTCTTCCTTTTCTGGGCACATCATTTAAGCATTATATGTGGTTATACACAGGAATGGATCCAAGTCGCAAAAAGTATGATCTGAATTGCAAATAGGCATTACTCGTAACTGTTCTAACTCTGCAGGCTTTAGATGAGTGCTAGAAATCAAGACCATATGCAAAGTGGCAGACCCAAGCTCTTGATCTGCCTGCAATGAAAAAGGTTTGCTGGAATCGTTATAGTGACAAGCCCTCAGCAATAAATGCAGTTTATACCAGGAAGAGAGTTTCTAGAATGAAATAAATTACAGAAGCACAGGAGATGCTGGATAACTATGACAAAATCCATGTTATATGTTTTGCTGGTGACAGAAATACCACTCAAAAAAAAAGAATAAAAATCATAACCTCTACCAATACTGCTACACAGACAACAAGTCTACCATAGACCCGGCCTCCAGCTTCAGAAGAGCCCATCTGCTACGGCTGGACAAGATGAACATAGGTTTTGTACAAAGCTCACTGCCAAATGCAGTTTGACTGTGCTGAATGATAAAAATCTCCTTCTGGGCTAATGTAAGTAACAGTAAGAATATGCATTGCCACAGCTACAGGGCCCTGGCTTTTAGCCTTCTTGCTTTTAGCTAAGAAGGTCCCTGGACCAGCCCTGAGCGATTTCGATACTTTTCCACCCTGGTTTCAGAAATCACGTACAGCAGGAGTAGCCCTGGGTCTCTCAGCCCTTTTTCTAGCAGTCATGGGCAGTGCCAATGGGGCTTTTTAAACAGCTGAAAGCTACAGCTTTATACAGGTCACAACTCATTCAAAATCAGTACTTACTCAAGTGGGCAATGGCTGATGAAGTCATGTAAGGAGGGGTCCTCCTGGGCATAGTCACCTCAGACACAGCAGCGAAAGGGGGAGGCAATGGAAGACAGTGTGACATGGGCTGAGAGCACTGCTGTGGAGGATGAGATGTTGGGTGGGAGGATGGGGAGGGAGCCTGGCCAAAGGAGCTGGGTGCGCTGGCAATGGTGGGCAGCGGGGAGGAGGGTGCAGCTCCTAGGTGTGGAAAGAAGGACCCGTCCACACTTTTCACCTGGGTCCCAGAGGGGCCTAAAGCAATTTGTTCTTCAGGATGGCCATTCAGAGGTACGTTTGCTGAGGTTTCCTGGCCTGCTTTATCTGTGGGTCCCCTGAACCTGTCAGGCGGGACAGGAATCACGGGCAGGATGGTGGGACCATCACCCCTCTGCAGAGGTGGTGCATTGGTGGTGGGGGAAGCAGAAGACCGAGGAGAGCAGGAAAGAGAAGAGCGCCTGAGAGGCTGGCGAGAGGTGAAGGGAAAGTGGAAAGGATGGAGAGGTGGTGGAGACAGTGAGGTTCGCCTGATGCTGGACGCTACGGTCCTGCGGTTTGGGCAGGCTGGAGGGGAGGAACCTGGGGCCGTTGGCAGCTCGGAGGCCGAGTGCCTGTGCAGGAGCTGCGGGGGCTCTCTGGGTCTCCATGGGCATCTGAAAGAGGATTGACTGGCAGGCTCAGGAACAGGGCTGGCATGAGGCGGTGGCAGGGGCACGGCACCAGCGGCAGGAGCTGC